CTCCTGATAATTAGATTTCTTTCAGTCCGGATATCGATAACTTCTCTTTTCTTGCATTTTCTTGTATCTTTCCCATATGTAGCCTTTAACTTGGTGAATATTCCACATAGTGATAAGGGAATCTGCATCATCAAGTTAGGATTCCATTTTCTTGAGAATCCAGACTTTGAGAGCTTGTTCACTGAGGCTGGAGGGTACGTGCTATGCAAGAGCTGAAGACAGAGTGTATAACATAACGCCTCGAATAGCACAGATATGGTGGCAATGAACGAATGAAATCGCTGAACCAGGAATATAGGTGACGGATCCTACGGGGCAAGAGGGCGACTCTGATATGACCTGGAGCAAAATAATTGCGGACTAAAAATGAAGACCCAGATCAACATCTCCAGCACAGGGGGGAGTTGAGGAAGCCAGTTGGGAGGTTGAATAGGTTTCACGAAGTCCACTCTAAAGGGCACACCAGAACCAGGTTTAAATAAGCAAGTAATTAATTGTGATATGAGGATATTGTATGAGTGAATGCATCTGGACAGAAGCAGAGATACCATAACTGTTTATCATATAATTGGTCAAAGTTTTGGCTCCACTTGTCTCTGACGTGTTGTAGTGTAGCTTTAAGACGGGCATGGCTCACTGACGATGTCGACTTAGCGTCTGTGAATGTACCAAGTGTATGGTCTGACGCTGGAGATTACCATGAATACTATGGATTCGGGACAGGCTTGGTTCATCTAAATATATCTATCTCCTAATCTTTTATATATTTTTTACTCACTACCTTTTTAGTTAGCAAATCGGGGTTCAACTCTTTGCATTGATGGTCGCCAGGAAAGCCTAATTTTAAACTATGGCTCTCAAGTAACACTTCAAAATGGCACTACTTCAGTCGTCAACAATACTGGATCAAGCCATACTACCTCCTCTTCTCAAATGACTTTGGGCTGTTACCCTGGAGCAGCAGTTACAAGCTTACAGGAAGCTGGCACAGGCACTAGTGGACGAGGACGCCGCTTTGGACAGATCCTTGACATCCGGGCCATACTAAATCAGGAAACCAGAATGGGAACAGAGGAAGAGACTGGTAAAATCGATCCGCAGGTGAGTGTTAATCGATTCAAAACGGTAACTAGCTGCATTATAAGTCATTAAAATTATATTCTAAGGAAACCTTGATACGTGGAAAGATAACGAATCTATCTTACTAGCTAAGAAATTCGATGTGATTAGAATATCTTGCGATTAAATTCTTTCATTATTTATTGAGTCTTACTTGTCAATTGAGTTAAATGAAATTCTGCTTATCACAGATATAAAATTCAGGAATTTAAAATTTTATTTCAACAAAAGATTTGGGTGTAATAACACTAAAATGGTCTTACTCAAAGTGAATTTACGTAACCTCATTTTAAAGTTTACATATGAATTAATAATAGACTAGAAAGGTTAAATTGCAACTTTTGACTTATTTGCAAGCATACTACGTCCTAGTGAGAAGCCTAATTTATAATTAAGGAGTAAAGGCCCATCTGAATCCAAAAGTGTTACGGGGCAAATTCTAAGCCATGTCAATAATGAGTTAATCTTTTCCCTTATTAGATTGGACATTATCTCACCATTTGGACACTAGGCGAAGTTTTTCAATAAAAAGGATGGATGAATATATTCTGTCAACCATTGAGTTAAAAAATAATAGTGTCCTTTTCATACTATATTTTTCGCATTTAAATATTGTTTCGAGACTACCAGTAAATCAGTAATATGAGATGTATTCACCCAATT